GTATGTATGTACGTACGTATGTAGTATATGTGTGTATGTATGTGCATGTGTGTATGTATTTTGAGGCAAGGTCTTACTGTGTAGCCCTGAAGCTCAATGTATAGACCAGGCTGGCTTTAAACTCACAAGAGATCATCCTGCCTCTGCCTCCCAAATTCTAGAATTAAAAGCCTATAAAACCACACTGGGCTAAATAGGCTTTTTTCTCCTTTGAGATAAAATCTCATGCAATCCAGGTTTCCTCCTCTGAGTCCTAAAGATAACCTTGAATTTCTAATCCTCCTGCCTGTGCCTCCTGAGTTCTGGGATTATAGGTGTGGATAAATATACCCAGTTTGTGCAGGGCCATGGTTCAAATTCGTGGCCTTGCTTTGTGTGCTGGGCAAGCACTACCAGCTGAGCCCCACCTGTGCCCCTAGTCCTCAGGTTTTCATGGCATGTGCATGTATGTTTCTGTGTAGCCTGAGGTCAGCCTTGGGTGTTCTTCAATTTTGAAACAGAGCCTCTCATTAGGACCTGGAGCTCACTGACTAGGCTAGTCTGGCTGGCCAGTTAGCTCCAATGATCTGGTCATTGAACACAGGTCCTGGAGCATACCTGTTGTCCCAGCATTCCCAGCTAGGGGCAGGAGGATCAGGAGTCTTCAGTCAGTCATCCTCAGCCACACAGCTAAGTTGAAGCCAACCTGGGCTGCATGAAATCTTGTCTCCAAAAACTGAAATGCATTTTATGTAGTTAACTTATTATTTCCATGTGCACCTTGGACTCTCAAGGACACCTCTCCACAACCAACAGCTGGGACTGCCTCATGCTCCCAACTCATTCTTAATTCAAGTGTGCTTGAAAATACAGCAGAGTGTACTCCAGGCCCCCTCCGTGCAGTGCGTCTTGTACCTCACACTGCTCCAGCCCCAGCAACTGTATACCCCATCTCCCTACCTAGTGCCCTCTCACTCAGCACCTCCCTTCACCATACGCATACCCTGCCTATCCCAGACAGTCCCACCGTTACTCCTACCCCACACTTACACATCCAAATACATCCATAGCATATACAAATCTCCATGGATACCGCCTCCATACTCCTCCCTAAGTAACTGAGAGAGCCTGGCCTGGTAGTCAGGTCAATGTGTCTGTTTTGTGAGACTCTCCTCCTGGCTTCAGAGCCTCACCTTTGATCCTGGTGCCCAGGCCTCTCTGGGTTTTGTTTTCGGAGGAAGCAACAGCTCATACTCTTGAAAGAATTCCAAGAAGAAGAACAATTGTTTGAGTGCCAAAGCCCCTGGGGGAGTAGTAAGATCTACACTCACTGTTCTGATCCTGGGCTCAAAAGAACTGTTGTGTGTAGAGAGACAATGCTAGGGACTGGAGCAGAGCACACTTGTCCTTCAGACACTTCCAGCCCTCAGAGTTTTAGGGCAGCACAGTGGCTGGCTTCCCCATACCTGGCCAAGCTTTCCTGTCCTGGATCCTAGAACTGTGATAGGCGGGACCTTCCTCCATAGGAAGTGAGAGTGAGCATGTGCTGAGGTCAGTCTTGTAAAGGCTCACTGCCAGTGGGGTGTGGGGGATGTCATCACGTTTACTGTTGAGTGCTGCTGCGCATTGCACCAGGGGATCAAGGTCAGGAAGGCTTACCCTTACCTCAAGCAGGGGCAGGCTGTGCCCCACACACTAACCTAGTACACTACCCAGTGCTACATAGGTGTGCAGAGGCCATCAGCATCCTGGAGGGAGGGTGACGCTTACATGCCACAGCTACATGGAGGTGGAAGCTTCTGGACCAATACAAGCACATGTACCCCACATGCACCCCACCTTTTCTCATCAGTTGGCTTACAGGTTTTGTCCTGTTCTGGGGTCTTTGTCCTAGTCTGCATAACTCACAGTCCCTGGCTAGGGACTAGAAGATACTTGAGGGGTTGAATGGAAGACCTGGAAGAGAAAGAAAGACTTTAGGCCGAGGAGGGTCAAGAGCTGAGCAGGTGGAGTGGGTGCCTCTAGATTCAGGACGTGCCTCCCACCTCCGTGTCCCTTGCATGCTGTGACTCACTTTTCCTGGCTTGCACTCAGGTTCTCTGTATGTATGTAGAGTCTGTGCAGTTCTACCCTTGTCTCCACAGAGTGTACTCCAGGCCCCAGGATCAAAGGTGAGGCTCTGAAGCCAGGAGGAGAGTCTCACAAAACAGACACATTGACCTGACTACCAGGCCAGGCTCTCTCAGTTACTTAGGGAGGAGTATGGAGGCGGTATCCATGGGGATTTGTATATGCTAGGGATGTATTTGGATGTGTAAGGACAGGGGCAGGTCTTTTCCCTCTGACACGGAAGGGATGGGGTGTATATGCTGGAATACTTTTGGAGGTTTGCTTTTAAAGCTATGTTGTGTGCATATGCGTGTGCACATCCACATGGCGGTGGACAGCCTGCAGGACTTAGTTTTCTCTCCTGTCATATGGGATTAAACACAGTCTTGGCATAAGCACCTTTGCCCACTGGCCTTTTTTTGGTGTGGTGGAGACTGGTTGATGTGCAGTTGGCCTCACACCTTGAACTCCTGATCCTCTTGCCTGCTGAGATTACAGATGTGTGCCATTGAGCTTGGCCTTAAGTGGAGAGGCCTGTTAGTTACCTGGGGACAAGCATAGGAGAGTGCCACTATGAAGACAAAAGCAAGAGTGTGGACCTCTGCTGTCTCCATCCCTGGGGCTGGTACTTGTTGCTTTGATGTTTGTGTGTCGGCCACAGTGAAGGTCAGTCCAATCACAGACGTGCCCTCATGTCTCCTTCCTTCAGAGTTTGCTGTCACGTTGCAGTTGAAGAAATAGCACCTCTGAAAAACCAGAAACTCCCTCAGGTCCCACAGTAGACGGTTAGAGCTGCGTCACATCCTCTTGTGGCCTGGCTTGGCTTTCTCACCCTCTCAGCTGAGCACATGGATTAGGTAAGGATTACAGGCCTTCTCAAGTAGTCTCCCACAAATACATGTGCCAGTTCTGACTGTGCTTCAATGGCTTTAATTAGGATTTTATCACTTGTAGATCACACCAAAGAGGAGACAGCTGTCTTCCTGTCTCAGCCCGTGACACTGAGAAGCAGCTGATCAGAGCAGAGGTTAAAATAGCTTACAGTCTCCTAACAGTTTCAGAGCAACCTCTTAATTCCCTTGCCTGGGAATTAATGTGAATTTTGCTTTTCAGACTCAGGGTTCTGAGAGTGTTCTCACTGCAGTCTGCCTTCCCACTTGTCACAGGGTTGATTTGGCTGACCTGGTTAACTACGTGGGTATCCCTTCCTGCTGGAGAACAACCTTCCCAACAGAGTCAACTATGCTTTGGTGAAGGGTATATAGGCAGCCATGCTATAGGTATATAGCCCTCCCCAAATCTCCAGACAAGCCCAGAAACTCAGATGCCTGGTGTTGGGGCCTGTTTTGCACACGGTTCCATGTTAGAACAAAGCAATGATCCACAGGCTAGATACGGGTCTTAATTTATATCAGTGACTGGCCTTTGTGGTAGTCAAACTCGGAGAGCATGCTGGGATTACAGAGTACGGCACTGTCCTCCATTTGTGAGGTTGGCTCTAGACACAGAACTGTGCCCTTCCCACATCCTATGAAAGCAAGATGCCTTTTTGCCCTACACACTTCATTAGGACTTAGCTGTCAGTGGCCATATGCAGCCAAGCACTTTACTCCAAGCCACAGAAGTCAATGCTGGCTGATTTGAAAGGAAAACCAATTATTGTGTATATTTGTTTAGAGATTTATGTTTTACTGACCGTGGTGGCACTTGCTTTTTAACCCAGCACTCAAGGAGACAGAGGCAGGCAGAGCTCTGTGAGTTCAAGACCAGCCTGGTTTACAGGGTGAGTTCCAGGCTAACTAGGGCTACACAGTGAGACCTTATCTTTAAAGGAGGGGGGGGGAGGGTGGGTTCGATATGTAGTCTTGGCTAGTCTGGGAATCACTAATAGATCAGGTTGGCCTTGAACTTGAAGTCATAGTGATATGCTTGCCGCTGCTTCAGTTTTATTTTTCAGTTATGTTTATGCCCATGTTGCTGTGTATGGGTATATGTGTAGGTGCGTGCAGTTGCCCTCCAAAGCCAAAAAGGGCATTAGTTCCCCTAGAGCTGTAATTTCAGGCTGATATGGGTGCTGAGAACCAAATTCAGGTCCTTTGGAAGTAGTGTGAACTCTAACCACTGAGTCATCTTTTCAGCTCCAGTAAGTTTTTAAAAAGAGCTGCCATGGACGTCTGTAATCCCAGTACCTTTGGCAGCCCAGGTTAGCCTCCAACTCTCACCACTGAGGATGACCGTGATTTCCTGATCCTCCTGCCTCTGCCTTCCAAGTATATTACAGACACTTGGCCACCATTCCCAACTCTTGGAATCAATCTTGAATCCATTTCGTTACCACCAGAGAGGTGATCGAGCCCCCTCTCTGCAGGGTATCATTCCCGGTTCTCAGTCCTGTGTGGTATACAGGATCAGCAGCCAGTGACACTTTCCTACTACAAAGTTTGCAAGGAAAGTGGGTGTGGCTGTATTAGGCTAAGGTCTGTGCCACTAGTGGACCACTCCCTACTACAAGTGCAGGTGAGATAGATGGAAGTGAGGCCTCAAGTCTAACCTGGTTTCTGCACTTGTCTTGCTGCGTCCTTTATCTGAACCTACTGTAGCCCTTTAGACATTACATCACTTGCATGCTTTCTCGATTTCTTCTTGTCCTGCGTGCTCTGTATCCAGAGCCCACTGTGGTGACACAGTCGCCCTTAGACAGTTGGCCACTTCCTCTTCTGGTTCAGCTTTGTGAAGAGTTCTGACTTGGGTTTCTCAGCTAGTGTGCTAGAGTTAGGTCCCAAGAATGGGCAAGCCATTCAGCATGCTGGATCCTAGGTCTTGCTGGGAAGCTTCTGATTGGGTAGGTGCTGTTTATCATAGGTCCTCCTGGCTGCCGGGTGCAGTTCCTCCTGAGCTGGATAGTATTTGAGGCCGTTGCAGTGCCACAAGTTGGTGGTTGTATTTTCACTTCGTCTAAGAGTGGACCATGGCTGTGATTCTCTTGGTGTACAGAAAGAGACCCAAGCTGTGGCCGTGTGAGATTTTGAAAGTGTGATACAGTCGAGAAACATCAGTAAACAGGCTGACACAGCTTTTATTTGCTCTGAGTTATGAGTTAACAACTAGGTGCCTTAGTTGTCCTGAACCAGGTTGTTTGGATGGGACGACACTGGATCCCCGGTATGAACAGGGTCTGGAGAGCCTCGTGTCCACAGGTGAAGCATGACAGATATGCCAGTGGTTAAAAGGGCCCAGACAGACGGACTCTGAGGGACCCCTCTCTGCTATCCCGAGAGGCTCTCCTACCCACACTGAGCCTGTTACTTAAGTGGCTTCAACAGTGACCTTTGGCCTTTCCTTCATGGCCCTTGTTAAATGCTCTTTATAAATACCATCTTTACATGGTTGCCACACGCTGTCTTTCCTCTTCAGCTGACCTCTGCATCCTGTCCAGCAGGGCCTTCCCGCTGCACCTGTTCCTCTGCCTGGATACAGGATTCAGTCTCATCACACCTGTTCATCCTGTGCCCCTAGAGGTCCTTGCCATGCCCATCGGCTCCAGGTGGTGGCTGCGGGCTTCATCCTCTGGTTCTCACCATACCAGGCCCCTGTGGCATTGGTGCCATATGGTGACTATACATTTACTGTCTCCTCAACTGCCCCCAGCTCCCTGAGGGCAGCAAGTTCACCTCAGTTCCTGTCACCCTTGCTAGATGACAAGGCTTACACACAAGGGTTTGGGAGTTGGCTGGGCTGAGATTTTTCTTCAAGAAAAGCAGACTTGCCTTTTGGACAAATCCAATGGTTATTTAAAGGCCAAAGTGATTGAAGGCTTTTAGCCAGCTCAGCTGGGCAGACATGGCTCGGCAGGCCTTGCCCTTCCCTTTTCCCATTCCTTCCTCCTTGCTGAACTGTTAGATTACATTCCTAAAGCTAGCCACCAAGATCTGTTCCCTTATTTGGCCACTTTCTCCCCTAAAGCTGACCACCAAGGTCCAGCTATTAAAGTACTGAAGGTGGGCAGTCAGAGCCCCATTCTGTTGCCCTAATTAACCTGGCCAATCAAAATGAAAACGTCTCCTCCTATCACAGGTTCTTCTCCCTTTAGAAAGCATCCTTTGCCAGTGGGCCATGTGTTCTCTTTAGCCAGAGGCAGCCCTTTGTCCCTTTGGAACAATACTCCATTCTCCTTCTCCCTTGTCCTCTATCTCCTGTCTTTGTTTCTTACTCCTTGCCCTTTGTCTCTCTGGGGCAGACAATCTCCTTTGTGCTGAGAACTTGGTCTTGGTGTGTCCTGTTCCAACTCTAATCCTTTTGGTGATATTAGCAGTTTGAACTTCGTGGGGCTCATGAAGTCAGACAATGGCATTGCCACAGTCACGCGGGTGTGAGCTTCTGGAGCTTTGTCAGTGGTCTGTAGAGAGAATAAAGGTGGGATTTTAGTTAGTATTAGACTTGGAAGAAGCTGGATGCCACCAAGAGCCCTATGTCCTAGCTATGGCATTGGCCAGTGGGGGTGACACCACTCGTGTGTAAGGTTAGAGGTCAACCTATTTTAAGAAAGTCAGTTCTCACCCCCAGCAGTGATAGCACACACCTTTAATCCCAGCACTCAGGGGTGGTTTGGTGCTGCTATGTATTCAAATGCCAAATATTGGGCCCTAAGGTCTGATTGCCCCCCAAGAAGGTCATCAGGTACACCAATGATGTTATGTAAACCTTGCTCCCAAATGATCCCAGATTGGTTAATAAAGATGCCTGTATCATGGGCTGGGCAGAAGTGAGGGAGTAGAGCAAAGGTTCCCAGGCTTGGGACCAAGAAGGAAGGAGGTGGGCAGGTGGCTCTTGAGCTCATGGACACAAATGCTGGCCTGATAGAGTAGGAGGGACCTAGGCAGAACATGGCAAGTGATATCTCGGGGATTACCACAGGCAAATAGACAAACTAGCATAGAGGGTTGGTATCTGCCCAGCTCTAGAGCTTTAAGGCTTGTTATAAGTCTGAAGGTGTCTGTGTCTTTTATCTGGGAACAGTGACAGTGTGAAGTGGAGTAGAAACCCCTAGTAGATATTTAAAGACAGCAAGGGGGTGTAGCAGCCTCCAAAATAATAAGAACCTCCGCAGATAGGTCTCTGCGTTCAAGACCAGCCTAGTCTACAAAGTGAGCTCCAGAACAGCCAGAGCTACACAGAGTAACCCTTGTAAAAGTCAGTTCTCCCCTCCCTGGGATCTAGGGATTGAACTCAAGTCAGGAGATTTGTATGGCAAGTTTCTTTTACCTCCTGAGTTCATCACGCCCTGTTTCTTGTTTGTTTCTCTTGTTTTGTCTTGAGTTGGGGTCTCTTGTAGCTGAGAATGACTTTGAACTCTTGATGCCCCTGCTCTGCCTCCCTGTTTCTGAGATTTCAGGCATGTACCACTCAGGCCTGATTGATATGGTACTTGGTATCAAACTTAGGGCTTCTTCCTTGCTAGAAGTAACTGATTTACAACCTGTTTAAGCAAGCAAGCAAGCAAACAAACAAACACCAGTTTATTATTTAGAAGGGGACTTGTACCACTACTTCATGCATATGGAGGTCAAGGGGCAACTCATGCAAATGGGCTATATATAGCTTTGCTGCATATATTCTTCTGTGAATCCTGCTTCAACAGTTGATTGAGCCCAGGTCAGAGGTCCTGTTGATGTTGATGCCTGTGTTGTCTGACCAGAGTGGAAGCTGTTGGTAGCTGTCAAGGAGGAACCCAGAAATGGTACAAATAAGCAGGGCTGGCTTGGATGTGTGTGGGAGGTGGAAGGGTGTCTTCTGCAGGGCCATGAGGTTTCTGGGTTCTTGCTTATTATTTGCCTAAGATCCCAGGGTGGTGAGGACTGGGTAGATGGAGCTCTCTCCTGGCTCAGCCACTGCATCCTAGTCACCAGCTGGGGCTTGTGCTTTTCCAGCCTGGCCTAGCAGTTGCCTAAGGCCATCAGGAACAGAGATTCTGGGTGGCTGCACCAGGCTCACAACTGATGATCAGTTGACTCTTCCCTAGCAGTTTACCGTGAAGTCCTGGAAGATGTTCCAGGCACCTTCCTATAGTGACAACTTTGGAATTTTGGTTTATTTAAAAAACACAGAACTATTATAAGAATACATTTTTTTTTGTTTTGTTTTTTCGAGACAGGGTTTCTCTGTGTAGCCCTGGCTGTCCTGGAACTCACTCTGTAGACCAGGCTGGCTCCGAACTCAGAAATCCGCCTGCCTCTGCCTCCCAAGTGCTGGGATTAAAGGCGTGTGCCACCACCGCCCAGCTGCATTTTTGTTTTAATCCAGTTGTGGGATATGGGGCTGCTTCAGATTGTCCACAGCAGCAGACTATGATTTGCCTAGTGCTCTAGCAGGGGCATGATTTTGCCAACAGCAAATAGTTTTTTGGGATTGTGTGATGGTGCAAATTCTGGGAACTTTTCAGAGGGTATATAAATGCTACGGCCCTGAGAGGTAAGATGAGTCGTTGGCTGTTGGTCACGGTTTGTTAAGTAGTCCTGCACAAAGAAGAGACAAGAAATTAGATATCCTGATGACGAAGATTGAACCTGCCCCAAGGAACTTGACACCCCAGTCATCAGGAAGTAGTTTAACAATGACATCACCTCCTTTCCTTTCTGTCCTTTTTTCTCTAATAGCTGGTGTTAGGGGGTTGAAATGGTTGGGAAAAGGGTGGAGAAGGGTGGAAGAAAGAAGAACTCAAAAAGTAGCCAAGACCAGCTACAGCTTCCATAGGAAGCTGGCACACACTCTAGAAGTCTTGCACCCTGCTGCCGCCTCGGGACTGTGTGGTTGGCTGAGAGTGGGTGAGGCAGTCAGGAGCTCTGCTCTGCAGGTGAGGCAGCTCTTCCCCTCAAAGAAAAGAGGGAAGTGAGGCCAGGTGGGAAGGTGGGGGAAATGACCTCACTGTGTAGCATCAGTTAGCATCTTAGCTGAAAATGCTCAGTGAATAATGAGCCCTGCATAATAGAGGTGTTTCTGCTAATTTAGGGAACCAGGTCTGCTGTGTCTGTTGCTGTGCACAGTCAGATTACAAAGGGATGCTGGTGTGTGCAAGCCTCAGTCAACCCTGTCTGTGCCCCTGCAATGCTGGGGTTAGGGGTGTCCTAAGACACTGACTAGGCTTTTGAGGTCTGTTCCCCAGTCAGGGTCAGAAACAGTTTAGGGTTAGCATGGCCAAGACAGTGAGTCCCTTGTGTTAGGATTTGCTAGCTGCTTTTGTTGGTTGGTAAATTTTTGACAACAGAAGTAAAATGGAAAGATATTACTCACAGTTGTGCTGGGCAGTTCCACTCCATCAAGTCTTAGTCTTTTCTAAGTGTAGTGTTGCCATGGTAGCAACCTTGGCCCTGTAGTTAGTGTGGGGCTCAGCTGTGCCCTCACATTCTCGAGTCTGTTTCACGGAGCGGCTGGCCCTCTGGACTATGCCCAGCAGGCTGAACTACGTCATAGTTCCAATTATCCCTTGTGACGGACACTGTTCTGAATACCTCGCCTGAATTGTTCTGGTTACTCTGGTTACTTTGATTTTTTTGAACTAGAGTTTCTGGCCTAAAAATGGTTGTGTTTGGGACTTTTGGTAGTTGGTGTCTATCACTCTAGAATCGTATCAGAAGCCCACTCAACCCTGTGATGTGTTGTAAGAGTGCTTTAGAGTCTAATAGAGAGACCAGGCATGGTCAGTATCTGTGAGTTCAAGGCCATTGTGGTCTATGTCGGGAGTTCCAGGTCAGTTAGGAATATATGCTGGGGGAGGGAGAAAGGGAGGGAGAAAGGGAGGGAGAAAGAGAGAGAGAGAGAGAGAGAGAGAGAGAGAGAGAGAGAGAGAGAGAGAGACCGAGACCAACTGACTGAGACTAGCTATGTGCCATGATGTCAGGGCAAGAACTGGGCCAGAGCAAGGAGTAGACATTCAGAGGAGCAGCTTGAAGGCCACCCCCCACCCATTGGGGTTCTGGCAACCTCAGGCCATGTGATTCTGGATGTGTTACTTAATTACACTGTGCCTCTGATTTGCTCATCCACAAAAACAGGAAGGAATGCTGACCTTATAAAATGTTTGCAGTGGTTAATTGGATAAAATTGATTATGTTCAGTAATGTCAGTATTATTCAGTTTCAGCAAGTTGCCTATAAAATATTGTCTCTCACAAGTAGGAAAAGCAGGACATAAGTGAATGTTTGCATCCAGCTCTCAGAAGAGCTCACCTCCTAGTCATTGGGACCCTAGTGTAACACTTTTTTTTTATTGCCTCTACTTAAGTTTTCTCTCTCCTGTTCTCTCCAAAAGTGGGCAAGATTGAGCTGGGATGTGGCTCAGTTGGTAGAGTCTGTTGTTCCAGTAATTCAGCTGGCTGTTAGCTCTCTTGAGTTTTATTGAACCAGAGGTGTTGGGTGGGTGGTGGTAAGGGAACAGCTGACTCCTGAGGAAAAATACCACAAGAGTCAGATATGAGCCTGGTCCATCACTTTTGGGCAGCAGGATTTGGACCTTGCCAGGATGCCAGTAGGCGTTCCCACAGTAGGTATCATGGAGCAGAAGGCTTGCATTGGATGGTGGACCTGGTCCCCTTTACTTAAACCTCAAGTAAGGTACCACCAGGGCCACCTGTCCCAAAAAGGGTCCTGCAGTTTGCTTACAACCCCACCATGGGTGAGGACTGATATCAGGATTTGCCTGCCTCATGCCCGGTCTAAACCTGTGGTGTAGGCTTCCTGTATGCCTCAGTGCTCTCTATAGGGAGAAGCCAGACGGGAGTTGGAAGCCTCTTGGTTCTGGGCTGCCCAGGTGAAATGGCCTGGTCTAGCTCTCTGTAAAGGGAAAGGGGACTGTGGTTTCTGCTGTGTCCTCTGCCTAACCTTCTAGTTGGTTCCTTCCTGCTGCCACTGGTGAGGGTGAGCACTGGAAGGGACGTGTGCTCACTCAGCTGTACCAGTTGTTCCCTGTTCTGCCCTCCCTCTTTCCCCTCCTCCCTCTCATTCATTCTTCAACAGGGATGTGTACTTTGGAGCCTCTCCCCAGCCACCTAGAGAGCCATTGCCTCTTGTCATGCTGTCCATACCATCTCTTCCTGTTCTGGGTCCTTGTGTGGCGTTCCCCTTCTAATCCTACACTCTGAGAATCCAAGAGTTCTGGACTTTTCTCCAGAAAGCTGTAGGCCCTGGAGTCTGACCAGGTACCTAGCGCAAGGATCCCCATCCCACTTGAATTCTCAGTGTGTGCTAGTGCTTTTTCTCCTTGGCTCCCAGCTTGCAGTGCATGCAGTTCCTAGCGCCAGGGATCTGGCCAGTATCTGTGGACTTATAAAGGAAATATGCAGGAGGAGTTACCTGCCGCCTCCCTTACACTTGTGGCAGGATGCCCAGTTGTACTTCTGGAAAGAACAAGAGCTGATTTGGCCTGAGGCCAGCTCCCTATGTTCTTCCACCACACATAGGAAGGATATTGGTGATCCCAGGATCAAAGCCATGTGATGCCTGCAGGAGCTGCATTAGCCCGGCATGCTGTTGCCATGGTCTCAGTGGACAGTGGGGCTCTCTTTCCTATTGCTGAGGACATTTTGACCAGCATGGACCCCTCACAGCCTCTGCATACATGTCAAGCCTCAGCTCTATTCTGCTTGAAAGCCGCCACACCCTTTCTCTTTGTCCTCATAGCACTGCCACCTCCCTGTCCAAGGCACCTTCTCCCCCTCCTTCTTTGCCCCCCACGAGTCACTACTAGAGTCTCAGCCTCGCTGCCTCCTCCCAGTCTCTCTGCAGCCTGTCCTGCCTGCCTTCAGACCCAGTTCCAGCTCTTATCCTGGGCCTTATCTCCCACGTTCTTGCTGCTCTGCCAGCTGCCAGCCAGGCACTTTGTTCTCAATCTCTCTTTCTCTGTCCACAGGCCTCTACAGATGGCTGTACCCACAGGGCACTGTGGCTCTGGTTGTGGCCTACCTCTGGCCTTCCTTGTCACACTGTGAGCTCTGAGTGAGGGACCAGAAGACCCACGTCTGTGCCTCATGCCCGTATGGAGGCCAGAAGAAATGATCCCCTAGAAATGGAGTTTTGGATAGCTTTGAGCTACCTGTGGGTGCTGGGACTTGAACTGAAGTCCTCTTGAAGAACAGCCGGTGCTCTTCACTGCTGAGCCATCTCTCCGTCCCTTCCAAGGCGTCATCTAACATGCCCTAACATTTTCTCGTGCCCGTGAGGAAGCAGGCATTAGGACATACGGTGCCCTTCCTGTTCAGAGGTTAGCTGAGAGTATCACAAAGGCCTATGGGAATGAAAGCCCCCTGTGATGTCTGTAGATGTCAGCTGTCAGGACTGCAGCCCCGTGCCCAATCTACAGTCCTCTCCTCCTTGCTCTTCTGGGAGCTATCTGCCTGCCCACGCTGCAGGTTTCTCCTTTCTCCCTCATCTTTTCCTCTTGTAATAGTTTGATGATGTCACCATGACTATCTTTATTTCCAGAGATGAGGAAACCAAGGCCAGACTTGCCCAGGGCCACACAGTCAGTGCAGCCTGATTCCCACTGGGTTGTCAGCTAGAGCACACTTGCTCTATGAGTAGCAGGTGTCGGGCCTGAGGGTATAGACTAGTAAGACAGGTGCCTTCCCAGGATTTCACAGGCTGCTGTCAGAGTGGACCCTCAGACATGAGCTCTCAGCAGCAGCTAGGATTTACATTTGGAGACCCAGAAAGGGAAGCACAACAGTTCAGTGGGATCAGTCTGCCTAGAGAAGTCAGAGCCTTTTCTTGTGATCACCCTGCTCTCTCCCCCAGTCTCTGGGCAGTAAAGAGCCTGCAGTTTCTGGTCCCAAGCATGGTGCTGTTCAGTCCAGAGCTTATCATTCCATCTTTAGGGTGAGTCAGACGCCAGTGGCTGCCCTACCCTACTAAATGCCCTTATAACACAGCTCCCAGGGGCCACCGCACCCAACAGGAAGTACCTCCACCCCATCATGAGGTGGCCCTGGCTCTGAGGACAGGCAACAGGGTGCCGTTGTGGAACCTACCAGGCTTGCCCCAGCATTGCCAGCTTCTTCCTGCCCCTGCCTTGGGCACTGCATGGCCATCTGTCATTCTTTTTCCTTACTGCAACCTTGAATTAGAACCACAGAGACTCTTGCTGTCCTCTTAGGGGACTACAGTGTGGAGGTGTGTTGGGGATTTGAGGGATAGTATATGTGGGAAGGGAAGGATTTTGAGGCCTTGTTTTCTAATATCTTTCAAAGTTTATTTATTTTGGGGTGGGTTGTGAGGTTGGTATGTGCATGCTGCCATGTGTATATGGAAGTCAGAGGACACCTTGCAGGAGCTTGTTCTTTCCTCCCACTAAGCATTAAACTCAGGATGCCAGACTTGTCCATAAGCACCTTTACCCACTAAGCCATTTTCCTGGCTCAAAGCCTTGTTTTTCTTGATTGATACACAGGGGGCCGGTTCCTATGGAAATGTGGGCTGTCTATCTGTGCATTGAGAAGCAGTCTGTATTGAGAGCTCTTGCTGGGTCTCCAGCTGCCTCAGGAACAAATTAAGGGTGACAAGACATCCCATCAGCAGCTGGCATGCCTCTCTCCTAACCATCCCTGTTTCCCTTGACTGTCTCCTGGAAGTAAGAGCCCCAGGCTTCAAAAAGCTGAGTTTGTGGGACATCTCAGGAAGAAAGATGACCTTGTTCCTTGGCCACTCAATTTAGATCCTTCATCTTTGGGCCACTTGGCCCTGGGAACACTTCCTTTAACCTTAATCACACTTCAAACCCATACCCACAAGTAGCAGCAGGTTGGGGCAAGTCCAGGCTGGGAGCCGAGCTCTCGCCCAATTCTGACATTCTCTTCCCACAGTTCTGTCAGCATAAGCAGCAGTAGAGGAAGACCCTGTCACCCCTTCCTGACCTCCTTAGGCCCCAGCAGGGCCAGCCATGTGGGTCTGCCCTACAGGCCATGCTGGTTTTGCCAAGCAGTCACCACTCTTAGGAATGTTCTCTTTATCACTTGGTGTCCTGCCCCATGAGACATCAAGAATTGAGTTGAAGGGATGCTTTTCTCTCTGATTGCCAGTTCCCCAGATGTACAAAACCCAGCAAAGCCTCCTCACTGGGTCTGTTCCTTTGAGTACACTGGGGATCCTCGAAGTGTTGCCCCTTTTTTCCTTCATCCATGAGCTCAAGACAGACTGAGCAAACACCGGGAACTACGGGACAGCTATGCGCTCTTAGTAGCCTGGGGGAAAGGACAGCAAGAGAAAGTGTAGTGGTTTTTCCTCTCTTTCCCTCTCTTCTAAGCAGAGCCCAGGTAGTGGCTCTGCATTCAGACAGCCATGTGGACAGGGTACCAGTGCTTAGCTAGTGAAGGTGCCTTCCAGGAGGGGACCGAGGCCATTGTGAAAGTCAATGTCAAGTATGAGGAGTTCGGGTGGAGGCATCCCCAAAGCTCAGTAAAGCTCTAGCTAACAAAGAGAAAGGAAAAGCAGAGCAGGGTGGCAAAAGCCTCTGATCTGAGGACTCAGCAGGCAGGCAGTTTACACTTGAGCTACAACATATCATGACCCTGTTGTCTCCCTCCCCTACCCCACAGCCCTGAGACAGACAGGGATAGGTAAACTATAGTTACTAACATCGGTGACGTCACCACACGTCTCAGAGGTGCTAAAGGGAGGGGGATATTATAGGCTATTTTATGCCAGCAAATTAAGTAATTTAGATGAAATGTATGGTTGGTTTTGTTTTTTGACTCATGGAGAAATGAGCAGCGGGGAGAAGGATCATTCAGTAAATTGCTTGCTGCACAAAATGAAAGACCTTAGTTCAATCCACAGCACCCGTGTAAAAAACCAGACCTGGCTCGCAACATGGCTCCATTGGGGAAAGTCAGTTGTGACACCAGCTTGATTATTTACTTGAATTCGATCCTTGGGACCCAGATGGTTAAAGGAAAGAAGAGAGTCTCAAAAGATTTCTTCTGCATATGTGCATACCCAATAAATAAATGTAATTAGTACTGATAAATAAAACTAAAAAGCCAAGCATGCTCTTGTGTGCCTATGATCTCAGTGCTGTGGAAGCAGAGACAGTTGGCTACTTGAGCTCACTGGCTAGCAGCAATGCAACTGAGAGATGTTTCAATACAAAAGACTGACAGAGGCTGCCAAGATGAGTCAGCAGTTAGGAGCACTTACTGTTCTCTCAGAGGACCCAGACTTGATTCCTAGCACACATGGGGTGGTTCACAGCCATCTGTAACCCCATTTCCTGGAGATCCGAATTCTGCAGGCTCATGCACACTCATGGTGTATATACCTACACTTGGGTACATACATATATACATTAAATACATACATACATAAGTACATACATACATACATACATACATACATACTAAAGCAAAAACAAGAGCCCCCAAAGTGGATGACCCCTGAGGAATGATGCCCAAGGCTGACCTCCAGCCCTCACATAGCATATCTATACAAATTCATGTGCACTCAGACATACATAGCAAATACACAAAAAATCATTATTAAAATTGAACATCCTGATAGTCTAGTGTATCTCTATACACTAATTTGACATGTTAAGGAATGATGGT